ACGGCGAATTAGTTGACTTCCTCATCCTTGCATGCAATCGTGACCAGCGGGACCACAAGCCCCATAGCATAGATGCTGTAGTTTATGCCCTTCCTTGTTTCCGTCATCCTTTCGCTCCGAGCGGTTTCAGGGTCTGTCGCATCAAAATCCAGCGAGCACCAACCCTCAGCTTCGGGTCAATGACCGTAAGGTCTTGTGGAAAGACCCTCTCGCTAGTCGGCACCCGATGCGAACATGGGTGTTCACGGACTCTGGGAACTGCTCTCCCCCGTGGGCCATCGAGTATCAAATGAGCATGTCCGGAATAAGGTATTGGCTGTCGATATATCAATATGGCTCACGCAGTTTGTTAAGGCGATGCGAGATGCAGAGGGTGCACAGGTTAGAAATGCTCATCTTCTTGGAGTCTTTCGCCGTTGCCTTAAGCTTTTATTCCTTTCTGTCCGCCCCATTCTTGTGTTTGATGGGGCTACCCCAGCTATAAAAAGACGAACACTTGCCTCTCGACGCGCACAGAGAGAGAAGCAAGCGGCGAAACTCAGACGACTGGCTGAAAAAATGCTGGTTAATCAATTGCGACAGCACGTTGTAAATGCCGCAATTACCAAGAGTGGAAAGCGAAAATTAAATGGTTTGCCTCCATTGCCACCACCCACGAAACTTGATGAAGAGGAGCAACGTGCAAGTCGAGATCATGAAAATGACGTTGATTCTGAAGAAGACAAAATCGAACCCGTCGTCGCCCCCACTCCATCTCTGCTATCGAGACAGAGAGGACGCCAAGATTTGTTGCCAGAGCATCGAAATGGCCTTCGTTCGCCCAGTTGCGATGACAAGGATCAAGTAGAAGTTGTACCTTCCCCGACTGAGCGAGTAGTGCTCGCTAACGAGCAAACCAAGGCTCAGCAGATCGAAAATGACGAAGTTTTTGCTGCTGACCTTGCTGACGAAGAGGAACAGCTTGAGAGAAATCGAGATGCTGAAGCCATAGCTCTTCCAGAAGATGCATTTGATCTAGACGATGAAGCTGTTGGCAGCCTACCACCCAACGTGCAAGCAGAAGTTTTCAAGCAAATCAAACTACGCCAACGCGCAAAGCACAGAGAACAGATGATGTTGAAGCAGCGGAACCCGTCAGAGTTTTCAAAGACTCAAATAGAAGGCTTCCTGCGGTCTACCGCACTCAACCGTAAGATCTCAACTGTGAGGAGAGCCATAAACTCAAAGTCTGGCGCCTCCCAGCGCATTGCCTCTGACAGTGGCAGGCGATTCGTCCTCGATGAGAGCCCGATAAAAAATTCGGATGTCGGACAACGGAGCGATAGCGATGACGATGAGTTACTATCAGCTCACAAAAGGGGAAGGAAGACCAATCACGCCCCAACTGATATCCTTGCACGCATCCGAGCAAGCCGAGATCAATCTCAGATGAAGGCAAGACTGAGTAGGAAGCACTTAAAACAACCTAAACCTATTGAAAGCCGACCTAACTCAGGGGTTGGATGGGCATCAAGGGTGCTAGAGGGGCAGGGGGGGCTGTTTTTAGGTGCGAAATCGGGCCTGCAGTCGACTGTTGGAGACGAATCGGATTCTTCACTGGACGAAGAACAACCCGAAATACAATTTGCCCTGCAGACTTCTCGTGATAAGCAAAACGCGGCTACGCTCGTGGATTCAAGAAGTTTAGGAGATGATGAAGACGATGATGTAGAATGGGAAGATGGTGCTACAGATGGGAATATTGTCGTACACAATGCCTCAATGTGCATTTCAGAGCCTTCTATAGCTAACGAGAAGAAGGAAGAATTCACAAGCAGAGAACTCGGAATCCAACACAATCAGACCGATGAAAATAGAAACTCTCTACAAGAAGATTTGGAATCTGACACTGAACATGTTGCGTTGCTTGATATAGATGAAGTTGGAAGCTCTGATGAGGAGTCTGAAAGGGAAGCGCCTCAGAAGGACGGTCAGCAGTGGAGGCAGAACAACGCCGAAACCGCTGTCATGGTTGAAAACGAAAGCGGCATAAAAGCCGCGCAGGAGTCGAAGCTGTCTTTTCAGAAAGAAGCCATGGGTTCCATTCAGTGGGCCTCTGGCCAAATTGGGAGTATTCGAAGCGTAAGCGATGGAGATGAAGCCGGCGAACAGTCACTTGACATGCACAGGGGCCATCTAAAAGTGCGCGGTTCACAGGATGATGAGATTGCTTCTCAGCGGATGCCCTCACAGGAATGTTTCAAGTCTGGTAGTGCATCTGTAGGCGAAAATGAAGGCACAAAAAAACAAGAGGAGAGACAACTGGAGGGTCGAGCTCCGGACTCCAATTCATTGCCGAAAAGCGGGAATGGTCAGAGTAAATGCCATAGTGAGGAGGATCGAGATCTGTGGATAGGTCCAGAGCGCTCCGTGCGAAGCGAGGATCCAGAAAAGAAACATGACGGCACGAGACCGCCTCTAAAAGGTCTGGTGAACGAAAAGACGAGAATTCCAGACAATCGCGGCTCACTAACGGTACAGTCCTCGCGAAGCGCGGCTTCAGATCTGATGACTCTGCGACATGAATCAAGAAAGAAGACAATATCTGAAGAAGAAGAAGAACGAGACCTACAACTTGCTATTGCTCGTTCAATAGAAGCTGAGGGTCAGACAGGGCAGGCGGGTGATTCCCCAGATCCGGTGCCGTCTGAGGACATGAAAACCGAAGGAAGTCGCGGCGACATCGCGAAACTATCCAATGTAGAGTTGTCAAAGGCAGGTCCCTCTGAGGTCTTTCCTAAATCTAAGAGTCCTCCTCTCCGTGACATGATGAACGAAAACCAGAATCAAGCAGCACCGGAATCACAGTTGAATCTAGGTTCGATTCCGCCCGACAGGGCCGCCAATGATGGAGCAAGGCCAAGTTGGAGCCAGTCTCATAGCGAAGAGGAAGTGCTTAATATTTCTGACGTCGAATCTCGACACTACGAAGCCGGCGAAATGTCTGACGAGCGCTTGAAAGAACTTCGAGATGAGCTCGACGTGGAAGCCCAGGATATCAAGCGACAAAGAAACTCTGAACAAGGCGCGGCAGAGTCCGTTTCAGACGAAATGTATGCCGAGACGAGGGATCTTCTCAAGCTTTTTGGCATTCCCTACCTCGAAGCTCCGACTGAAGCAGAAGCTCAATGCGCTTTCCTAGACAAGGAGAAAGTTGTGGATGGTGTCATTACTGAAGATTCAGATGCCTTCCTGTTTGGGGCAAGAACCGTGTACAGGCGATTATTCTCCGAGGGTCGCTTTGCAGAAGCGTACGAGTCTCAAGATGTTAAGAACAGTCTCGGCCTTGACAGAGAAATGCTGATTCGATTGGCGTATTTACTGGGATCAGACTACACATCAGGTGTTCGCGGGGTTGGCGTTGTAAATTCCATGGAGATCCTGGAGGCGTTTCCCGGGGAACGCGGCTTAGAAGAATTTCGAGAGTGGATGAAGCGAGTAAGTATTTTCGATGAGGAACCAGATGAAAGCACCTTGGAGGGAAAATCGCAGGAAGCAGTGAGAAGACGTTTCTGTTGGAAACATAGAAATATGAAACGAAACTGGGAAGTCAGGGAAGGATTTCCAAATAGACAGGTCGCGGAGGCATATAGAAGGCCAGACGTGGACAAGAGTACAGAAAAATTCAAATGGGGCAGGGTTGACTTCAATGGGCTCGCACGATTTTGTTGGGACAAGTTTGGTTGGGAGCATGACAAGTTTAACGATGCCGTAGCCCCTCTGCAGAAAAAGCTCTCCGAAGAATCAGGGATGCAACAACGGAGAATTGACGAGTTTTTCAAGCCTCACCGCTTTGCCAAAATTCGCTCAGAACGGCTGCAAAAAGCTGTGAAAGGGATTGCAGGGGAGGATGCAAAGGAGCTTATGTCGACACTGCAACCCAAAGCGAAACGACGGAAAACTGCCCCCGTTGCCCATATTGCCACTGTTTTGCCAGATGAGGAGGAGGCTATGGTTGAGGCCCTGGATAGAGCTGAAACCCAAAGGAAAGAACGAGGAAGCAGTGGAAAGTGAAGATCTTTTCGGTACTATTATGTATAGCGTAGATAAGCGAAGACTCGTCAGATAGACGTATTTATCAAAAGGTAGTAAGAGTTTTGAATGGAAAAAAATCCAAGGCAACGTCACATCGTGCAGTTTTCCATCTATGGAAAGAGATAAAAAAGTAATGCGAAGCACAGTTCGTAGGAAACCTCATGAAGGAGTGGCCTTCCAAGACGTACATATCTTCTTGAACGGCGCTTGTCCAGTCAGCCCTCGACCTCACACTTGGTGCATCAGTTGCCCAGCCTGCTTTGACGTCAGCTCTGCTTTCACATTAAGAATAGTCTGCATCCGAGCGTGTGAGACATGTTGCCTACCTGGACGAGCGGGAGATGCGCGTACAACTTTTTGGCGCGAAAACCCACTCTCGATATGATAAAAGTACATTTTTACTACATTTAAGTGCATTACTGCTTATAAAAATACGCGGGAGTTTAAACCATCTTGTACTGCGCATCGCCTAAGAAAATCAAACCGGATTCTGGCGCAGTGCCAGCTGTACTGGGCCAAGACAATCAGTACAAGCATTTCCCGCGGTTTTAACTTCGCTCCTACTCCGCATCCAAATGAAACTTCCCTATTTTGGGTCCCATCGGTAACGGGGGGGTGCTGCTGTGGACTCACTACCGACTCCGACTGGCCTCAGACACTTCTCGTTCAAGTAAGATTCAAAGTTACATCTTGATCCTTCTGTTCTACACATCGGCTTTCCCTCTGAGAAGAACCAGTAATCTACAATCATGGCGGAAGTGCTGACCCCACAGACGCCTGACCAGATTGGAACACCACAAACACCCACGCAGGCAAATGTTCCTTCTTTTGTGCAGGTCGATGAGCTTGCTGAAGCCGTCGCTGGAATTTTTATGGACTTTCTTGAGACATTCAGAGATGAAGAGCAAGAGCAACAAGATGACGATGACGATGGAGACGACAATCCTCATCCTAACCGTCCCACAATCCCCACATACATCGCGCAGCTACAGACAGTTAAAGAGCGTATGCGAACCACATTGTACGTTGACTACGATCACATGATGCGCTTCAACGCCGATTTGGTCGTCGTCGGGGAAGAATTTTTCCGCTTTGAACCGTATCTACGAAAGACTGTGGAAGAGTTTGTTGCGAAGAATCTTCGCCAGGAAGAGACATCTGCCATGGAAATGGCAGGCAGAAACTTTTGGCTTTCGGTTTACAACCTGCCCTCTGTCAGGAAACTCCGTGATTTGCGATCAGAGCAAATTGGTGAACTGTCTTCAATATCTGGCACTGTCACTCGCACATCTGAAGTTCGTCCAGAACTTCTCCTGGGTACCTTCACTTGTATGGAATGTGATGACTTATTTGAAAACGTAGAGCAACAGTTTCGGTATACGGAGCCGCCTATGTGTCAAACGTGCCAAAACAAGAAGGAATGGAAGCTTAATGTCGAGAAAAGTACTTTTGTGGATTGGCAGCGAGTTCGAATGCAGGAAAATGCTCAGGAAATTCCCGCCGGTTCAATGCCGCGCACCATTGATGTCATCCTCCGAAATGACAACGTTGAGAGCGCTAAAGCCGGCGACAAGGTGATCGTCACTGGAACTCTTATTGTGCTCCCTGACGCCGTAAGTTTGGCCGGTGCCGGTGAGAAGGTTCAAGCCGGCCCTAAAGGTGGGGTTGGACTTCGTGGGGATGGGTACAGTGGAGTCAAGCAGTTCGGGGTGAGAGAGCTTGTGTATAGAACAGCCTTCTTGGCATGCCATGTCGCTTCAGCAGAGGGAAAGCCTGGTGCTACCTCTATCAGAGGCGAGGAGGCTGATGAAGAGACTTTCGATAGCATTCTTCGCAGCTACACCAGGGAGGAGCGCGATGAGATTGGTGCAATGAAAGCCCATTCGCGCTTGTACCAGCGCATGGCCGGAAGTATTGCTCCTACAGTGTACGGACATGACGAAGTGAAGCGAGGTGTCCTCCTTATGCTGTTTGGAGGGGTCCACAAGGAAACAAAAGAAGGGATATCACTGAGAGGTGATATCAACATATGTGTTGTTGGGGATCCATCAACAGCCAAGAGCCAATTCCTCAAGTACGTCGTCAGCTTCCTGCCACGTGCTGTGTACACTAGTGGGAAGGCCTCATCAGCCGCTGGTCTCACTGCATCTGTGGCGAAAGATCATGAAACTGGTGAATTCTGCATTGAAGCTGGCGCTCTAATGCTTGCTGATAACGGTATTTGTTGCATTGACGAATTCGACAAGATGGACCTCAAAGATCAAGTTGCTATTCATGAGGCAATGGAACAACAAACAATTTCCATTTCAAAAGCTGGCATTCAAGCTACTCTCAACGCTCGGACTTCAATTCTTGCAGCGGCCAATCCTGTGGCTGGCAGGTACGATCGGTCACGGACGCTGAAGCAAAACTTGACAATGTCCGCTCCCATTATGTCGCGTTTTGACCTGTTTTTCGTCGTGCTCGATGAATGCGAGGAGTCTTCCGACTACAACGTTGCTCGATTCATCATCAGTATTCACAAGGGTGGCGCTACTAGTCAACCGACAGAATTCAACGAAGGGCAATTGCAGCGGTATATCAAGGCCGCAAGGAAAATCAACCCTGTCATTCTGCCCGAGTCTAAGCTTCTATTGGTGGAATCGTACAAGCGACTGCGACAGGCAGATTCTACTGGCGGAGTGCGGTCATCGTACCGGATCACTGTCCGACAACTCGAAAGCCTCATTCGCCTTTCAGAGGCACTTGCTCGCTTGCACTTGGATGATTGCGTGCGTCCACAGTACGTGAAGGAAGCTGTTCGATTATTGCGGAAGTCCATCATTCACGTGGAGACGGAAGACGTGGACCTCAACGAAGGTGAGGAGGAAGAGAAGGACGATGACAACGATGAGGCGATGAATACGGCTCCAGCAGCCCAAACCGAACCCAGCACATCGAGACCTGAAGCATCTTCCGCGGGCGGGCCGGATCCCGAAAATCCTGCCACTGCAGCTGGAACATCTGACACTCCTACTGAGCAAGGCCCAAGTGCACAGCGAGATGAGGCCGACACCAACGCAGGCGAAGCAGACACGGCCGCCCCAGAGACAGAAGGCGCAGCGGGCGAGTCCTCCAAGCCCAGCTCATCCACAGCTGAGGGATCTAAACCGGCTGAAAAGGTGACGATTGGATTTAACGAGTTCAAACTCTTGATGAACAAGGTGGTGCTCCACCTCAGAAAGCAAGAACTCACAGAAAGTGAAGGAAAAGGGGCAGCTAAGAGAAAGGACATCATCAAGTTCCTTTTGGCAGACGCCGACCAGCAGGCCGGAAGCGGTGGGGCCTTCGAGTCGGAGGAGGCTTTGAAACGGGAAGCTAAAATAATGCGGCTGGTCGTCAACCGAATGGTGAAAAAGGAACGTGTGTTGGTCGAGGTTCCAAATCAAGGTGAAGAGGTATCTCGGGATGACCGGCTCTACGTTGTGCATCCGAACTATGTCTTAGAATGATCCTGGTGCAGCAGTGTATAGCTTTAGTTTTCGTGCGAGCAATGTAAAGATCAACAAAGCAGTGGTTACTTGAATGCTACATTCCCTGTGACGACACAGTCACTCTCGTGCCTTGGTTTGCGACGGTGTATCCTGCATTGCGAAGAAACTTGACCCCTTGAAGATAAGCACCTAGGAGGGAAGGGTGCCGGGAAATCTGCGTGTATCTCGGCAACGAAAAATGCGAAGTCAAATGACAAGAGCACAAGCAATGATGCTCGGGAAATAAAGTTTTTTTATTATTTTTGGTCAGGGCAATAACATTCAATATGGAAGGTCTCAAACGAAGGACCTCGGAATGGAATACCAAGCGTACCGTTGGTACCTCTACCGCACGGCACTCAGAGCGAGGAACAACCCAGCAGCAAATGCGGCCCAAACTTTCTTGCTTCACCGCTACAGCCCGTTCCTACTTGTGGGGCTACACACAGAGACAACAGAGTTTCACAAACGACATCACCGACTATCATGACAGCTCCGCGGGGGGCTCCACGAGGCGCGTCATCCGCTGACCCTCCCACCCCGAAGTCTCGAGCCAAAACCAAATCTGCCCGCTCTCGCAGCTCTCCCAGCCAGAAGAAGGCTTCACCTGCCATGCTTGCCTCATCCATCGCGGCCTCTGCAGCGCCAAGCGCTTCTGCGACAGCAGCGGCAGCGACAGTTGCCCACAAACAAGCATTGCTAGCGGCTCATCGCCCTGCCTCCATGAACAGCACGACTAGCGCACCGAAGCGTGGCCGGTCTTCAGCTGGTATTAGTACAAAAGAACCAGACCCAAAACGGGTTAAACAATCTCCTTCCCCTTTCGTCGGCGCTCCAGCTCGACCAGGTGCGAATAAGCCTCCCGGGTCGCCGACTACCAGCTCGAGGTCGAGACAACGCAAATCAAACAAACCACGGGGTTCTGTTGCGGCATTTGGAGAGGAGGCAAGTGGTGTTCCAAACATGCGTTCAGCTTCTCGTCCTCGACCCAATTCGCGAGCCCAGGCAGCGCCTCTTCAGGTAAGCTGCTTTTCAGTCGAGGGCACGTCTGTGACATCTATTATACCGCCACCTCCTTTGTCGAAACGACTATTTGGTCACGAGATTCAATGCCTTATGCATGCATTCGGAGAGGTCCGATTTTGTGCGCGCGACGTGTTAGAGCTGACTGAAGACTCCGTGCGGGACGCTGTCATTCGAACAGCAATCGCCGCTCATCAATTCGCGACTGAGGAAACCCCGGCAGGAGAAGAAATAGTCGTTTCCCTACGGCATGTCGTCAGATGCATGTACAGCGATTATCGGGCCATTGTTCGCTTACAACAAGCACTGAAGCCGGACTTGCCCAAGCTTAACATTTCTGCGATGGATTTTGAAAGACTGAGCAATGTACCACCGCCACAATGGGACCGGTTTTCAGAGTTAGGTTTTCTAGGATCTCTTGTCCACACGCCTGACAAAGCATCAAACTTTCCCCCGCGTGCAGATGTGCAGACACTGTGTGCCGGACGTTCATTCCATATTTATCGCTTGGTGATGGGGCCCCCAAATTTCCAAGACTGGTTAATGTGTCGAAGTGTTTCACTCGTACGACAAGAAAGTAAATCACGGGCTCCAGCAATTCGGGGCCAGCCACGTATCGATTTGTTCAGGGAGTGGATCGGGGTTGAGCAAAACCTGAACTTTTCTATATCGGAGGACGGACTTATCGCTCTCGGACATGTCGCATGGGAAGCGATTGGCCTAATTACCCAAACCGCGTTGCTCCACCGGTACGATAGCATCGCGGCGAAGGGAGCAAGAGACCCTCGTGCACGTTATTGGTCATTTGCCAGTAACCTTGTGGAAGCGCTCAACTTTGGGATTGGGGCGGGTATCATTATTCCCCTGAGTGAAATTCAAATGCTGAGCGTGCGGTCAGCCCTGGATACCCGGATTGTCTCACTTCAAAATTCTTCAAACAAATGGAGAGGGTACGCAGGGGATGTGTATCCTGGTTTAGTTCCTCGAGATATTCGAGAAGCGTTGAGACGGCTGGGCAGATCATCAGGTTCTAGGTTGGGCTTGCGGGGCAAATCATTTCTACAAACGCTAAACATTTTATAAGTGTATGTATAAACGCTATCGCTAACCTGTAATTACATTTTGTCCCCAAACACAAGACACCCTTCTTCTCATTGTCGTCAGAGGTGAGAAAGAGCCTATTGTTGATGTCGCCCCTAATGTTTGCGCCTACCCTTCCAGTCAAGGTACAGCGAGTGAAAAAGAGATAAATGCGAAAGTCAGACATTCGAAATGATCGAGGTGAGTCGACGTTTCAACGTAGTGTACTACTGTACGGTAAAAGGAAAGCGTTACATGCAGATCATGCCATGCTGACCTCATAAATAGCTATGGCAGTGTCGCCTTACACGGGTACGTAACCATATGAAATGACAATTTCCTCGGAAATGAGGGTCCTGTGGATCAAAGATTACTTGGAAGTACAGAAACCAGGTTACAGTATGTAAGGTTCCAAGAAACGGCAATGAGGCTAGTGTCTGTTCATTCGATTGGTTCACTAGTCACCAGAACCACATGTAGTGTCTACATGCAGAACGAGTCGTGGCCTTTGGAATGGTCGGCTCTGAAGAGAAACATCTTGCCTCAAATAGATGGCGAGATAGATGTCACTCTCTTCAGAAATCTATCAATTGAAGCTGGATAAGTGAGGAACGCTTCAATGTGATGTGGTTCCACAGGAGGCCTAATCGCTTTTTTCTGTCCACTTCATCTTGATGGATAGTTTGGGAATGTGCTCTCGCGGCGACTTGAGGTTTATGAAGGAGTGCGAGACAGAGTTCAAGGCTCAATAGCAACACGAACAGATTCGAACAACTTCCACACTCTAGTATCAAATTGCTGATGAAGGTGTGTTTGGGATGTTCTTGAACCAATTGGTTGCATATAATTAGCATAGCACACATTTTTAAATACTGAACGAGTGTACGAAATCGCAATGCCTAGCTCACTTTCTAGGGTGATATTAGGTCACAAGCCAACTCCAAACAAAGTATAAATGCTGTAGCTAATTCGCTCGTGTGAAGAGTGGGCCTGCAGTAATAGCGTGTGTTAAAGCAATAATTCTCGCATGCTTTATAGCAAGGAAAAGCTGACCTCCTTTGCAAATCGCATGTAGTCTAGCTAGACTGGAGTGTGGAGTAAGGAAGTCTTGCCAGCTTCGGTAGCTTGCAGTCTAGCTAGCTTGCAGTCTACTAAGTGAACTTCACTCACCACAGAGGGGGGGTGGGGGGGGGTAAACTATCATACTGTACGTTTTGTATGACACAAAAAACGGAAGGTAAACCCTGCGCCATAATCGCGATAGTTTCATTGGTTCCTGAACCAAATACGACCCTTCCATTGGATCAGATTTACCCTGCTCGTGATTGGTCTCATCGTTACAAGTACGGTACAGTATTGCTGCCGCTTTCAATTGCAAACGATTGTAGCCCTGATTGGTATCCAACGGGACTCCACTCAGCGTGCTGAAGTGCACATCGAGGACAGACGATTGGAGAGGAATTTCATTATGATTGCCCTCTCCGATTACTGTGTCGAGGCAACAATTTCCCTTACGCAACCCTCCATGCGTTTCCGAGAGTCGGTATCGACAGAGATGAAGTAGAGGTGAAGAGCTGTTTGTTGTACGGAGAGGCCTTATATCAACCTATTCGCCCCGCGCATATCTGACTGGCAGCCCCAGCTGTTCCACTGGCGTCTTTCAATGTCCTTATGAACAGCCAGTCGTTACTCGCATTTGTTGTTTGGCTTGTCGCCGCAACAGTCGCCGCCAAATTTGACCCTGCGGCCTTCCAGCTTTTCGTTGCCCTTACCATATTCGTGATCATTGCAAGGAATCTAGGGGAGCGTAGACATGGTCCTTCGGCCTACTCGGTCTTTAATCCCGGGTGTCAATCGCTTCTCGGCCAAATCAACGCTGAGCAATTCGATGCCGAAATTCGACACCGCCCGACGTACGCGACTGCTTCCCGCCTTTTTGACCCCAGCTTCTCTCGTGTCGCATCGGTACTAACTGACTGACACATCTTGCAACTATTTCAATTGTCCTTCACTCAATCATCGTCCAGGGACACTGTTACTGACCCTACCGACATCGTCCTGCACACCACGGGCGGGGGCCTGAGAAACAATCACGACGATGCCCTTGAAATTGTGCGGCGCGAAATTTGGCTTGAAGCTCAACGTGCGAAAGCGAATAGGTCGTTGGGGCGATCAAGGAGGGGGCGGAGCTAATGCAACACGAGAGATCTCTCAGACTCTGGACAACTACATGTGAAATCACGCGGACACTAGTCCAGCTACAAGGCAGCCCGAGGCGACTCCTTGGTTGCTTTGTACTGCTCTCTCGCAAATGGCAGGAGAAATTCGCAAACGCTGTTTCGGCAGGCAGCATCGCTGGGCACCATGTGGCCGTTACTATGTTCCAGGGTACAGCGGTCTTCGATTCGAAATTTCTCGACGAGTTTTCTCGAAGCATACGCAGGGATCGTTTCATCCTTTAAACCCCAGACATGCATGGAGGGTAGGTCCATAGGTTTGATGAGAAGATGTTGATGTTCATCTGCACGGGAAGGAAAGCCGGAGAACATAATTGCAAAGCGGACAGAGGAAAATTCTGGGACATAGTACGTCGGGTTTTGTTGGATGGCGCACAGGAGAGATGTCATTACGGCTCCTTGTGAAAACCCAAGAATACCGTCAAATTGCTGGTGGGACGGTTTCATGATTTGTTGGGGGCATGCAAGTGTTCCAATAGCAGTCAATGAAGAAAGAGGTTCATACACACACAAAAGCAAAGGAAAATGGTCAGGAAGGGAGATCGCAAGGAGGTGGAAGTAACTCTTTTCCAGGGGGACAGAGTGGGATAATGATTCAGATGATCATGCAAAGTACCTGTTCAGCGAAGTGAGCACGAAGATATTCTTTAGATTGCTGCCACCCGGTGTAACTCCTTCCCTCGTGGGCCCACCAAGTGCGTTGAGTCAAGTTTTTGAGAGTTTGGTCAGAATCTACAGCATTCCGCAAAGAAGAAATAGCGGGTGTATTGGGAGAGTAAATTGTTCTCATTTTTGGTTTGCAATCTGGGTTGATTTGCTCTTCGAGAATGCGCTCCACGATAAATGGAGCGTCAATATAAACCAGTTCCGCGAGGGCGACTGCGTCGGAGGAGGAGGAGGGGGCCAAGGAGGGGTCGATGAGGTGAATGTTGCGTTCCAGAGACTTGCGAAGAGCTCCTGTTTTCTGACGGAATCGTTGAGCGTTCTGACGAAAGCCATGTAGACAGGCGATGCGCAGGGGGCGGGGAGGGTTGGACATGATGTCACTGGCCGTAGGTCGTGTTGGGTGGAGAGAGGAGGTTGTTGTGTTGTTTCGCCTTTTTTCTTTGGCCGGAAATGAGGAAGCAAGCTCCTTTTGAAGAGGCACTGGATGAAGCGGAGTAATGGGCCTGTCCCAAGTTGAGAAAGAGGGAGTTTTGTGTTGTTGTTGGCAGTAAAGAACAGGCGCGTTTCCCGGCTTCACCCATGTTTTGATGACTGACACAAGGCGATTGGGGACGGGACGCAAAGAGGCGGAGAAGTAATGGGCAGGTGGCAAAACAAGTCTTCTACGCACTGGTCGTGTGCGCCCACGTGGCGTGGATTGACTGGTGGTGGATTGATCTCAGCGTTGTAAAAATGTACGCACCCCTTGTGCTCGATGATAGCATCATTGACGTCCAAAGAAGAGAATCGCGAATTGATTCGTACTTATTTGCGATTAAAGCATGCCAACACGGCGTTGTGTGTCGTATCAAACGCACGATTAGACTGCTATAGCACTGCTACCAAGGGGTCGTGCCTTGGGACTTCCAACTTGGGAGTAAATGTTTTGGTGCTGCTACCGTAGCAGCACCAGAACATTTACTAAATCAGATATCTGCACACCGCATCAACGCAGCCACTCAAATTCTAGAATTGAATTTTCCCACCAGTTTCATGCTGTCCAGATCGCATCTGAGAAACTCAACTGCGCAAAGCCGCAGACCACTCTACATCGAGCAGCGACCTTTCCGCCTTCATCTCAACGCTCCCGCGCTTTGTCTCTACCTTTGCGCCCCCCCCCCCCCCCCCCGTGTCGCCCTATGACTGATGAAGTTCAGGTTCAGGGCCATGTTACCTCGAGCATCATGGAAAATCCCCCGTCGTGTCTATTTGACATGCAGTTTGCCTCATATGAGGCCAGTTTTTTTTGCAAAAATATATATACATTAAATATTAAATATATAAAGTTAGACGCCATTTCTTTAACGTTTATTCCCTCAGCAATAACATCTTGCAAAACATTGGGATAGCAGTTGTGAATACACAGAAAGACTAAGAATCCAATGAAGTTTCAAGGGTCTGTTGACATTTAAACAGGCGCTTTGGTTTCGAAGATATCAACACATAACGTTTTGAGATTGTTCAAAAAGGCATCTTTTGTAGACATTGTAGACATTCTAAAAATGGCTGGAAAAGACGTGCAGATCTCACCAAACTCTACTCTTCCGCAACACAAAAGTCAACTGCGGTGGCAAGAGTATTTTTTTCCTTCTTGTTGAGAAGGCCTTCTTGTTGAGAAGGCAGAAGTCGAGAAAAATAAGTTGAAAAGTGACCTCATATGAGGTCACATGTCCAATAGACACGAGGGGTGCTCTAAAGTGTGCAATAGGGATTTTTCGGGGTCATCTGCCTTCCGAAATGACCCATTTTACGCCCCTCCGAAAGCATTTATTACGGCTTGGTTCCGTGTGGGGGGTTTTGCCATTTTGAATTCTCTACCTTCCAAAGCATAAATACTGTGCGTGGGCCTTCTGTTGCTCTCTTTACACCTGTTTTCTGCTTAAAAATGAAACAATATTAAATAAAAACCCATTGTCCAATGTACATCTGGCGTGCAACTGCGCCGCACCCACCATTCCTGCCGTCGTCCCCGAGTCCTTACATCGATGCAGGTCTGCTTCCCTCACAGGCTGCTTTAGAACACCGCTCCATTCAGGTGCGTCACCTCGGATGAGTCTGGTTTGCCATCTATTTGCAACCGCATGAGACGAGTTTTTGTCCCCCGCCGTCTGCATCCGTCCCGTTTTCCCACGCAGAGGAGACGGCCCCGAGACAGCTCCATCCTCGCCCATGGGACAACATCGCGATGCTCTCCAAGTCGCTTTCGAAGACCCCACCACGAGCGATGAAGAGAACTTTATGTTCGAGCCCCCGGGCATGTCCGCACAACAGCCAGAACCGGACTCAGACCCGCGCGAATTCACATGGCGTGGTATTTTAGCCCACCTCGGTCCTGCTTTCCTCGTTTCCATCGGCTACCTCGATCCAGGAAATTGGGCTACAGATATTGAAGGTGGCAGTAGATTTGGTTACAAGCTGCTCTGGGTACTCATCGTAGCTAATTTCATGGCTCTTCTGCTTCAGGTCCTAGCGGCCCGAATGGGCATTGTCACGCGATGCCACCTCGCAGAACTCTGTCGAGATGAGTACCCACGCCCCGCAAATCTGGCTCTGTGGGTCATGGCCGAGTTCGCTATAATCGCCACCGATCTAACTGAAGTCCTGGGCACCGCCATCGGCATCAATCTGCTCTTCAACATTCCCCTTATGGTCGGCGTCGTTTTGACGGCTCTTGACACTTTCTTACTGCTAACAGCCCAGAGCCAGGGGATGCGTCGCGTGGAGCAGGTCATTTTCGTCTTTCTCGGCATAATCTCCGTCTGCTTCATCATCGAGCTCTTCATGTCCAAGCCCGACATCGGCAAAATCGCAACCGGCGTTTTTGTCCCACGAATCGACTCTCAAAGCCTCTACGTCGCGACAGCCATCGTAGGTGCTACCGTCATGCCGCACAACTTTTATCTTCACTCGGCCCTCGTCATCGAACGAGTCCCCGATCGCAGACCAGGCACCCTCCGCGCGGAATGTAAATACAATCTCGTCGACACCGCCATAGCACTCAACGCTGCTCTGTTCATCAACTGTGCCATTCTTATCATCGCCGCGGCAAATTTCTGGGAGAGTGGTGTCGAGGTCACCACTTTATCGAAGGCTTATCACCTTTTGGAAAACACGGGAGTCAAGATTGGAAACCTCGATCTTGCCCCAGTGTTGTTCGGCATCGCCCTGGTCGCATCAGGGCAGAGCTCCACACTCTGTGGCACGCTCGCGGGCCAGTATGTGATGGAGGGGTTTCTCGACTTGAGGGCACCACCAATTATAAGGCGACTGATCACGCGACTGGTCGCAATCGTTCCCGCGCTGCTTGTTATCTCAGCGATGGGGGACACTGGGACGTATCAACTTTTAATCATGTGTCAAGTGGTGCTTTCTTTGCAGCTTCCGTTTGCGATTGTACCCATGATTCGTTTCACGAACTCCAAGCGACGAATGCAAGATTTCCGCAATACACCTCTTGTTTCAACACTTGCGTGGACAGCAGCGGGAATTGCGGTTTGTCTCAACATTGCGTATGTTCTGCATCTTCTATGGCAGGGCATACAATCGGGGGTGGCGAGTATCCGAGTAGTGTCACTTGCATGTGGGCTTCCTCTGTTTCTTTCCTTGTCGGCGTTTCTTGCGTGGATCGCCCTGCGTACGGAGACGGGAGGGGCTGGAGCGGTTTACCGTTTGGAAGACGACGACGACTTCGGTTCTGCTCTGGATTATGAACTAGACTCTCTCGGCTCCCCGATCGGCAGCGCGCCAGGCCAACCCTCTCCAATGGTGGAGCCCCTATCTTTTGGGGAAGAACATGGCGAAAACCTTGAGGACATATTGATGTTGGATAGACAGGCACTGGCATTGTCTCAAAGAAGAACTAAAACTGGGACTTGACGAACAGGCAGAAAATTGAATGTTGCATAAAGTAGAGTGAGTGACGTTTGGAAGGCGATTCATGAATTCGATTGCTCGTGAGCCGTGGCGGTTGTGCATCCGCACAATGCCCTAACTCGCCGGTATACGCAGTATGCGAGCCTTCAGAGATTTTTTTGAAGGCGTGGCACGCACCGTTAGAACAGAGAATTGGATTCCCAGTTCGTACAGTTGGATAAGTGAAATGCATTGGAATGATAGGGAACGTCCTCAGCGTTGTTCCTTGTCCTTCGCTGATTAGGCGGTGCTCTTCATCCCACCGCCCGAAATAGCTCGATAAAGTATTGATGGGACAGGTGCGTTTATCGATACTTAGTCTGATAGGTAGCAGTTAGATATTGGTGATGACCATGAGACATCGGTGAGTTTCGTTGCTTCTCTTCGTTCTTAGAGGTCCTGTCCCGTACACTGGTATGACCGGTAACTTGCAGCTCATATCTTTATGACTCCTTTTCTTTCCGCCGAAGTGCTGGTCTCCACTCTCGATATCCAACTGTAACAGCCATTTGAACTGAAAAAGATGACGAGCGACCGGGATAGTGTAGTCGATTTTAAACGTTCTGCTGCCTCTCGAAACCGGTTCCAGAATTAATTATTATCGGCTCATACCCCTTGGGTTGAAGCAGCAACCATGTAGTAGAGATGACCGCCACTCGGCGGACCAGTGAAAAACTGTCAGTCCACCTGGATTTTGAAGTAATATGCGTGCGATGGATGGAAGCAGAGATATCCTCGTACACCCTTGATCCGTCTTCCCCCGAACTTTCCATTTCGTTCTCACTACGCCAAACAACGTATAAATAAGCCTCACGGTGGAAGACTGATTGCTGGTTTGAATTGTCTTATCCACTAGAGCCAAGCCAGATCAGTTTTCTCCTGAACGTGATGCGTCTTTTTTTGGTTCACCGGAATCATCAGATGCAACAGCTTGCCGAAGCATGGCCTTGATATCACGCTTTGGTAGAGCATCCAGAGGTATTAGGACGCTATCGTCATCTGACTCGGATTCTGACGCTCCCATATCGTCATCAGAAAGATGCTTGCCTTCGTCTTCCCCGCCGTCTTCCGCTCCAGCCGAAATATCGTCCAGCATGGCGTCTGAATTGCCTGCTTCGTCTTTGTCTAAAGGTTGTCCCGGAAGGGGCAACCCCTCTCCGTCTGTATCCATAGCAATACCACCAATGTGCATGTCAACTTCTTCAGTACTGTTATCGTCCCCACTGGCATCGTCATCACTATCTCCACGATCCGATACACATTCTTGATCAGACTGGTGGATTGCATTTTCTGTCTTATCAAGAATTTCCTCGCTGTTCACAGAGCTTTGCTGGGCCCTCTTTTGAGCAGGGAGATACACTTGAAAGGAAAAGTCTGTAGCAAAAGAACCAGGATTCAACCCCAATGTCCCACCATACTTGCAAATATAGCCATCCGTTTTGTCAGCCAGCACAACAACATGAGGGACCGGGAAAAGCCATAGAGCATGGGCATGTCGCCACAGTACAGGACGAGCAGAGTTGGGCAGAGGACACAAATGCGACTGGTCAACAACTGACTTGACGAAATGTTCTGACATTGACCCCGATTCTCCGAACTCCGGTTTCACTGAGCAATGTCGGATCATTTTTTGCATGAGATCATCCCGCAAAATTACAATCTCTTGCGTCATGTACCTTAACCGACACGGATTTGTTGCCAAGTGCACTCTCTCGCTTCCAACAGCATCAATAAACCCTTTCATTACTGTTTTTGGCATAGGAGGTCTGGGAAGAACATTGCCTGGACCCGGATCATTCATTCCCGGTACAACTACGAAAACGCATTCTTCGAGGAGAGGGCTGAAATCCGCGGCTATTGCTGTTCCAAGCTCGGTGAATTTCTCTGTCAGTGTCATCACATCGTCAACATGCTGGCCAAACGGATGTGAGAGAAAGTTTCCCATTAAGACGACAAGTTTGGGCAATGCACCATCTTCAATATAACCGGTAAACATGTGCTTGAGACCAGCCATGACGCGCGAGTTGTCCAGCGCAACGTCAGAGAGGAGTAAAAACATTGTATCTACTGCTTCTTTTTCCAATTTCAATAGCTGTGCAGTTTCAGAGGCCTCGAAATGACCACCAAAAAGATTTGGATTCTTACTCATCGCATTCAAAGACTCCTCTCTCTTCTCAAGGGGTGGCGTACCCATGGCAGACACATGAAAGATAGATTCCTGGTTCGGAGTCTCTATTAAATGCCCTTGGGCGATGGCAAAACTGCATTCTGTGTGCAACCCTGCTGTAACACTCGCTTCCGATAGATCTAGCTTAACGGACCCGTTGAGGTCTTCAAGGAACCAAGAGCCTTCCTCAAGTTGCGTTAACATTCCGAGAACAAGTTTTTCATCCTTGCTCCCTGCCAAGCTCTCTATCCCAGTCAACTGGTAGTATGGGCTGCTTTTCGCCATAGACAACATACCAGAAGCTGGAGGTCTGAATTGCGGATTGCGGAGGGTTTTGGCCAACAAAAGTTCATAGCGAGAGCGGAACATACCCGCTTTAGATTGCGGTCTGCCATCAATGACAGGCTTTGGCGGGGCGCTAATTCGATTCTGGGTGCCAAACCCACTCGTCGATGGCTCTGTGTCTGACTGCCAGCTCGGAACAGTAAACGTGTTGATGACTTCGATGCTCGCCGCAGCCATGCCCACTTGTCTATCCGCATCTTTTTGCAGCCTTGAAGCAATAGACTCAGCCAGGTCCTTGGTTAAGATTCCATTCATCGACGCACCCTCGCTCGCTAGTATGTTGAACACATTCTCGAGCAATTCAGAAAATTCCATATTTTCCAGCGTGTCGTAAGCACTTATTAGGGCGTCAATAGCTCCGACGTGAACAACTACCCCCCGTTGTCGAAAAATCCGAAGCGCTCTTCTGCGCGCTACGGCCGTCATTGGAGTGAACTAGGCGGCAACTTCTTGAGGAGATGATGTCGAGGCCCTTCAAAAGCAGCGTAGAAGTTGTCAAAAGGCAGCGCCGAAATGAAACTGGTAACGAAGCGATGAAAGGAGGCGTGCTGTAACTCCCTATCGTTAGTGGTTACCTTCTTGGGAGGTGATGTGGGGTGCTTGACCTGACTGAAATTTCATTCCTAGGCAATTTTGCAATTTTTGCATTTTGGCGGGAAAGAGACAAGAGCGCGCGAAAACAACTCCTCGTACTTGTACTCTGCACATTTAGGTCTAGCACTGGGCCTCGATCTTAGCTCTACTCTTCAACGCTGATACGTTTCATCTATTTGCAAACCATGCGTCCGAAGTATATGGAGTGCTGATAGCCCTGGACGACCTTGCGGCCTCTCCATGGACGAAAGATCCTCCCCAAGTTAACCAAACGCAGCGATTTGTGCTAGACGACAGAAGTGTGGTAGATGCGCTACTGCCGTAAGATCAGGGCCTTCTACCATTGATCCCGTTTCGAGATTCCTTTGAAGCATATCCAGTCCGCGTAATAACGGGTAACACTCGCGCGCAAGCTGTTGTCCGTGTTTTGGTGTAAAAGATGTGTAGAATTTGTTAATTCCCGACATCAGTGAAGTCAGCTACCTGTGATCACAAGCGGGAAAGAAGACTTCCAGTCGACTTTCACGAATTTTGATATGCGTCAGCTATCGGTAGTTACCCTTAGGAAATGGTCATGGCAGGTCGTTTCCCCACAACCCAACATGAGAGCGGATCGAGATGAATTCAACCCCGTCTTCGCAGGGGAGGTGACATTCCGTCTTCACTTCCATTTCGTTTGGATGTACATGATGAAAATCGAATTGCAGGCGGTTGCGGGTTGCCCCCGGATGCCCGTCGTGGTCGTCGTCCTTCGCATGCTGCGCAGAATGGTCATCGGTCGTTCATATTTTCCAAGTTACCAGTCAGTACGGAAGAGAACTGGAAACCTAGTCGTGAGAGTAGCATTGAATCAGTTTATTCGTATCAAGGTCAGCATTAGCGTCTCGTTTAGTCATGTCCTATACAGTGCCTAGATTCAGGACCTCGCCAGTCCTCATGAGGCTCTGTAGAGACAGAATAGTTAATACTAGCAACCACGTCCGACGCATGTGTGATGCGTAGCTCGTTACCCACCAAGCTGTTAGAAAACATAAGTGCCATTTGTAGTGCCGTTTCGGCACTACAATGCACTGTCATTGACTGTCCAATCGTACCCAGCGTATACCACTTTGTATCCCCCCAACCGCTGCCTCTTGTCTTGCAGGAGGGCGCTGATTACGTCCCTCTTTTGCGAGTCCAAGTGTGGCAGGGTCCATCGAATCACGGATTCCAATTCTCCGTCCGGGGAGAAGTCCGCCTTGTACCACTGCAACAATTTCGGCAAAGTAATAGTGCACTTATCGCTGTCAACTTCAATCTCTTGCAAGTATACATGAGTGGCGGCATCCAAAGTGCGGTCGAGGGTATCGGCGGCGTAAAACCTGACCGCAGGACAGCTTCTCGCGCCGCAGTTAAGGGCGAAGTGAATGCGCGCATCGACCGATTGCAGAGAACACAGCTTGCGTGCGTCATTGTCCGTAAAAGGCGGCTGGGCGAAAGGCCCACTTCCCGGACGATTGGAGCGCAGGACGCCGTGCTCAATCATGTTAAGGGTGTACGCACGGCCTCCGATATCGTAGGCGGCAGTGTTATATAAAGAAATACGCTGAAACATAGTACGCGGTCTGGACATGACGGCGATGGCGTGAATCATGAGCGAGTTGTAAATATTGAGGAAAAAGGCTTTGCGCTCAAGCTCGGAGAGCAGTAGGGGATCGAGGTACCTTAACTTCCTTGCGGAACGCAAGTAGTCGTGAAAATTATCCCAACTCTGCAACGCGGCGTAGTCGACGTTGCTCGTCTCGGGGTCGACAGCCTTGCCATAGAGCCTGAATATTTGTGCGCTGAGCTCTTCCGCAGTGCGCAACATCAGCTCTGGCCCAACACCTCCAACCGTCCACAGGTCTTCACCACAACGACAGCTCTCCGACTGCGAGCACACGGGCGGGGTGGCTTTGTTCACGGGAGGGTTGACACGCACCATTCCTTCGGGGACGACCTGGTCATTCGGGATGGCGACTTTAACATTTTGAAGAACGGGGGATGCAGGTCCGAAATGAGGTCTCTGTCGCGTTCGCTTTGGATAGGCTCTGGGTTTTGCGGTGATCGGTTGGCTTTGTTTTTCGGACGGTCGATGGTCGTTCTCCTGATTGATGAGTGACGTGGGCGCTGGGATGGCGGAGCAGGCGGTGTTGAGGACGCGCGGGGGCGTGCCGAAGAGCAGGTCGAGGGCGTCGCGGTAGCGCGCTCGCATGGCAACCATGAAGCCGGGGGAGGCAGAGGAGGGGCCGGTGCGGTTAAGGAGGGGCGGTGAGGCCGGGAGGCGCTGCTCGCGAGTGGCGAAGCCTTTGCTGCGGACGACGGGCTTCTTTGTCACTCTGCCGGCTGCAACACGGCGCAAGTGGCGTTGGTCGGGCATGGTGATGAAACAGTCGCGACCGGAGTTCGAGGTGCAGATGGCGGGGGGTGGGAGGGATGCCGGGAAGGGAATCAAAGAACAGTGAGGTGCGATGAAAAGAGGGGGGGGAATGGGGGTTGGGGAGGGTGGCGATGGGCAGAGAGGAAGCGGTGAGGCGGTGGCACGGCCAGAAAATATTTTTAAGGGCGACGTCAGGGGGGGGAGGGGGGGTTATACAAGAGGAGGAGAAGGCACGTGGGGCAGGCGGTCAATTTGCATGCTGTGGGGCAGAGCCCGGGGGCTCGATATCTCGTGCAGAAATGAAAATATCTCGGCGGCGGAATATGCCCAGAGGAGGGGCAGCGTGCGGCACAGAGAGGACGAGAGCGGACGATTGGCGAAGGGCTGAGCATTGATTGGCGCATACTGAGCCCTAAGCCCGCTGTTTTTGTGGCCGATACGGGCCTGCGAAAATATCGGGGTTCACTAGTGATAGCGTTTGCGGACGGGTGGGAGTGGGGTTTGCCAATCGGGTTTGCACGCGGCGACGGGGGGCGGCGGATAAGTGGCCAGACGCGGAGGCCCGTTGAGGGTCCCGAACCGCCTCTGGAGGGTCCCGAACCGCCTCTCGAGGGTCCCGAACCGCCTCTGGGGCCACGTGCGGCCCACCTCATTGCGGCCCTCAAGACGCCGTGCGGCCACCATCGTTAGCGACGCCGCGCCGGCCCGCCTCTTTGACAAATCGCCAACAACTCCTCCACAGATATTTCGATATTAACCAGCCCGGGCCCCGCCGCCCGCAGTGCCATTTGCGGCGCAGCTTGCATGCCGAATCTACTCCAGTTTAGTCGACGCGAATCACCATGCTATTCCCGCACCGTAAATCTTCCCCATCCGCCTCTGCCACGCGGCCTGTATGCAATCCGCATGCGATCTTCGCCCATCATTCTTCGATTGCCGGCCGGCCTCGGCCGAAACGACGATGAAAAGCCCCTTTCGCAAGGCACCTTCTGCCTCCGCCCCCTGCGGTTGACATCTCTCCCAACCATGCAGACACCTCGTCGTACAACGTTGCGACCGATCCGACAGGCACTCCCGGCGCACCGCGAGGCACTGTATGCATACAGTATCGCCTCTCGAACTGCAAAACTCTGTCCACCACCACGCGCCTGCGCGGCTGCTATCGCTCTTTCTGAGAGCAGCACACTGTTCACCGTTCACCTTCCACCTAGAACAGCCATCCCGCTACCAGATGGTGCATTCTATGTTTTCAAGAGCTACCCAGTGTCGATTCATTCCCCCAGCCCACGATATTGTACTACAGTGACCTTGCGCAACAGCCTCCTCGTGTCAGCTGTCCCCTTGTACGGGCCTTCCCACCGGCAGCCCTGCAAATGAATCCCGCTACAGTATGTGCAGCAATACGTGCGGGCGCTGCAAGTCTCTCCGCCCCCGCTGTTTCTTCATTGCGCAACTGGACATAACAGCGGTGGGGCATGCCGTACGAGACAGCAAGGTAGAATACGAAGCAACGGGCTCCACCATATGACGGGCCCCTCACGCCGTCTTGCTCATGTTGACATGTTGACATCGACAGCCGTTCGGCAGCCGTTTCCAGTTGCAAGACGCTTTCTGCTCCTGCATGGGATCATGCCCTCACTTTTTCCATTGCACATCCCGCCTGCTCCCCAGCCCGATGGCCGACACCTTGACAACCCTGCGGCGCCCTCGCCTCCGGCACGCAAGTGCCGCACGGAATTTGGCATACGTGTCTAAACGCCTCCTTTCTCTGTCGCGAGGAGAGAGGACGCTGTGTCTTCGTGTCGTGCGACCGGCCCAAGCATCGCTGGCAGGGGTTTCTGCGAAGAAACCGTTGCGGAAGTGCGTACAGTATGATCGTTTACAGCAACAGACAGTCGCGACATATAATGGGGTCGCGCAATAGTGCTAGCTGGAATAGTGCCTCCCTCGATTTAGTGCTATGCGAATCGCTGTGGCACGGTTATCATAATGCCTCCACGAGTTCATACACGTGTGTCCTCATTAGAATCACACAATAGCAGATGTGTGAGCAGATCAAGTGAAGCAATCGAGGGATGGATTCGTGGAGTACCACACCGGGTCCGCGAGGAAATCGTGAACGATGCCCTTGAAGACTTATCGCAGGAAAGGTAGCACTCGAATGTATCCAGAGCCTCAAGCTTGGATGAAGAAGATGATACAATGACGCCAAGAGTGGTGAAACCAGTCCAGAGCTCTTTAAAAATTGGAGCGATGTTTAGTAGTGTAGACGTTTTTGCGTACAATTGCGACGTTACTGAGGCCTCTATGCATCTAAGAAAGGCGAACAAGGCGTTGATTGTTGCCGGGGCTGCATATAAAAATGTGGCTGCTAAGCAGGCTGTGATCAACGACTTCTTCTCAAATAAATGAAATAAAAGTATCTTTGCGTTGTGCACTACACCTATGCGTCATATAAATGTCCTTTAAAAATGGTTTCGTGTGTGTCCTGAGTCCTTAAAAGGTCGTATTTTGGCTCTCTTTGTATAGTGCCAACAACCACCCTGCAATAGTGCCACATCTAGAGGTTTGTGTTGGTATGGCACTATCGTTGGACCCCCTGTACAGTTAAAGGTACCAGCTCAGACATGCTGGCGTCGCGCGCAGTGTAGGGGCAGTTCTGTCCTTGGTGGCAAGTATGGAAGGCACAAAAGCCCTAGTATGCTACACTCTGCACTGTATTCGCTCTAAATCTCTGCTCTCGCTCTGCGTCCTCGCTCCCCGGTGCTTCCGGTGTCGCTATCGCTACATATACATAACTATCTAGGAGGACAGCATGTCGCTCCTGCACTCAACGACCATTGTCGCTTACAATGGTCGGCATTGCAATTGTGGGCTTTTCGCTACAGCTTGTAGTCGTGGATTGGAACCCCCTGCATGGGGATTGCTTTGCGCCCTTTGGTCTTTTGCGTCCGTTGCCTCGATTAATCAATTCGTACCTCATGCATTAGAGCAACTCTACGGCCAATCTATTCTCTAATCTAACGTGGGTTTTCAGGATAGAATCAAATTTGCATCTCTACTGCGCACAACTTAATCTATCCTGAAATCTAACAAATAGATTACAACTCGTTCAGGGTCTAACCGACCCCTTAATAGAGCCTGAACGAGTTCTAATCTATCCGATAGAACTCCCACGAAACGTGATATCATTGGGCATCACGATACCAACACCCGCATTTTCCCAATACAGTATGTCCGCAACGTCCATGCCAATGCTGTAGACGGCAAAACAGTCTCTCCGCGATCCATTCTCGGCATCCCTCTCATCACCCTCTCTCCATCAACACTGAAAATGGGTCGCCGGAAGGGATGGGACTCGAATGAGAACGAGGCCCTTGCACGCGCTTTGGTGGTATCATCCGAAGACCCCATAGTTGGAGTCATCCAAACGAACAAGATCTTTATGGACACGCTCAGGCGGCGCTTCATCGAAAGAGGGCGAGGAAGGAAGAGGTTCCCCCGGGGCGCTTCGGAAATCGAACGGCTGCGAGCATCAAACAGCATTTTTCGGACATGTCCGCTGACGTCCAAAAGTTTCGCGTCTCTCTAATGCGCGTCCGTGCATCGAACCCAACGGGGGTAGGAGAAGAAAATGCGTTCTGTCTATGGCTGTTGCCATTTACCTGGGAACTAATGTCATGGAATATGACAACAAGGACCTTAATAGGGACACCTGGATGTACTACCGGGCATGGTTGGTACTCCGCAACCATCCCAAATGGGCTCCTGTAGACGCTGACACACATGCCTCATCTGATCCCGTCATGGCAGCCGTCGAGGAACTAGTTATATCCTCCTCTGATGTGGAGGGCCTGAGCCCTGTGGATACTATCCCGCATAGGCGAACACAGAGGTTCGGCTTCGGATCACGTGCCGCGAGAATGGCGAAGCAGGAAGAACTAAGGACACAGGCGGTGTTTTCCCTAGCACAGTCCGCGAAGCGCAAAAACGAGTCACTAGAGGAACGAAATGCAATTGCCGTATTCTCTAGGCCAGAGGCGGAAGGACTTTCGGAGACCAGCGAATTCTTCGCCATCCTACGTAAGACCTACTTGGCACAGGGTGTAAAGAGAGCAAAAGTATCTGAAGAGGACAATGAAGCTTCTATGTCCGTGCTCGCCAGCCCGCTGGAAACTGGAAGACACAATGTAACGACACCTTCTGTGGGCCAGTTCGGTGTTCTCTCCACCAATCCGTCTCCCCTGACCTCTGGTACACCTGAAGAAACGAGCTCAACCTCCTGAGGACGGCCTAGATGCACGGAATGACGTGACAAACAGCCGATACAGCGCCAATCTCGTCGCGGACAAGCCGGGATCCAACTCCCCGACTCTCATCCGAGGCAAGTCCCCGGACCCCGCCAACGGGATCCAACCCCCCGACTCCCCGCCAGCGGCAAGCCCCCGGATCCCCTCATCGACACGCAGGGGGCTCAGCCCCTCAACCTCCTCAGCTCCGCTGTACGCAGGGGACGTAGTCACTGCATTGCTGCCGTTGTTTAGTTGCAGTTGAGGCCTCGTTTACTAAAAATTACCCTGTCTATTCCATATATGTTCGATGAGATCCTTCTGGAGTGAAAAATGGTCGACCACATTGTTGATGCTTTTGTCTCACGACGCTAACATATTTGCCCACATACCCTCCGTCAAGTCGAAGCGCCACAGATTTGTAATTGCTGTGAGAGACTCCCATTGAAACGCTTGCCCGTTGCTGAACATATTTCGGGCTTCCTCAAAATGTTGCAAAGATGCTATCCCGGTCTCATAGTGATCCCTGCGCCCCTCAACAATCATGTTGTGCAATATGATGCATGCCTTCACAACGTTACTTATGTCTCTACGGTACCATAGCCGACAAGGTCGCTGCAAGATATGGAATCGCGCCATGAGCACGCCAAACGCTCTTTCTATATCCTTTCTAACTCCCTCTTGTGCCCTTGCGTATGCCCTTTCCTTCGCCGTTGTTGCCTCCTTCATAGTTTTAGCAAATATTGCCCAACTCGGATAGATCCCATCAGCCAGATAGTACGGCATCGTTCGCCTCTCTCCATTGACGAAAAAGGGAAAGCGAGGGGGGAAAGAACCAGCCATTATGTTCTGCATGGTTAACCATTAATGTCATGGATTATTCCCCAATTGGGGAATGATCCATGACATTAATGTCAGTAAGGCTACCAGGACTACCAAAGAACATGTGCCAAATCCAGAGTTCGCCGTCTCATATGGCTTCCAGGACGACGGTCGGTTTCTTTTCTTTTCCCTTATACTGCCCAGCCCACGCAAGCTGACAGTTCTTCCACCACCAGTGCTGGCAGTCAATACTCCCGACACATCCTGGGAATCCTCGTGCGGCATTGATGGAAAGAATTCGCCTTAAGTCTTGCTCGTCAGGTTCTCTTAAATACTCTTTACCAAACGTAGACACAACTAATTCACAGAAGGACTTCATAGATGTTAGAATAGAGTCCTCACCCATTTGAAGGTACTCATCCAAAAGGTCCGCCGCACTCTCGTAGCAAAGCATCCGCATTGCAGCCACAACACGTTGCAGAGGGTGGATGCCGGGCTTTTGCATACCGTCATTGCGGCCGACAAATATGCCCTCCCCATTGATTGTTTGAAAAATTCGGTCGAACAGCTTTCGAGACATTCGGAAACGCCTTTCGAAATCTGTTTCACTGTATCTCGGGGATACCCCAAAGTAGTCGTTGAACAAACGATTCATGGCAGCGTCGAAGTCGCGACGTTTGTTGCCTCGTCTTGTTGGACGGCTTGCGGAGCCGCCTGCTGCCTTCGGCCCTATGAATCCCGGTACAATACCTGATGCAAGGAGGAAGGCGATGTTTGTCGCTCGAATCGTCGCTCATGCACATTGTGGTTGAGATCTATGGGAATCTATTTCCTGTGCCGTAGGGATCTATTTACACAGAGTCTATTCTGAAATACAGCAATAGAGTTGCCGAGTTATGTTGTGCCACTTGGCAATAGAAATTAGAGAATAGAGGAGGCCGCAGACATGCTCTTACTGATCTAACTACGACAGTACTTGTACCACTCTATTCAATCCTGCCATGCTCCACAAGCTGCAAACGTGTACACGTTCCACGAATTGTCACAACAGTATTAAAGTGCAAGAGTCGCAAATCGCAAAAGTCTGCAACAACGCATACAGTAACTAATCTATCTGGTCATAAGTTGCCAGTGGAAACTGATGCAGTGGCAAGTTTCCACTGCCATCCTCGCACGTATGCTGTCTCACATCGCAGACTTAACATATCCAATCCAAACGTGACACTTGTCCCCATATATATGTCGATATGAGATAGCATTCGCAAAAATAGTCGTTGAATAAAGCATACAAAAGTCGAGAAAATCTTGCATACTGCAAATTACAATGTGCAAGATTTTCTCGACTTTACAGTTTGTAATTGTGATTCCATGAACTCCGATGCCCCCGATCCTCTCAGGAGCGGGCGGCCGTCGGCGACTTTATTGTGCAAGTGTGTGGCGTGCCCTATTGGCGTTGCCTTATTTGTTAGCCTGTCTTACTTGCCTCTGGATGTAACCACACTTCTGCGTTGTTGGCGTGCAGGCTGGCCGAGCGTCGCTTTTTGGTTCTGGATGTAACCACACACCCCCGGACGCGAGGGCTGCCTTGCGCTGGTTGTCGGTGCGCGCATCTGTACGTTGGTTTTGTGTTTTTGTACAGTGTGGCCTTGAGTGGTTTCGTGAACATGTCTGCGTACTGCTCCGTCGTTGGGATGCGCAGGATGCGTAGTTGTCCTTTTTGCACTGTGTCGTGCAAGTAGTGATATCGGACGTCTATGCACTTGCGGCGTCTGGTGGTCCCCATGCTCTTCGCCATTTGTGCGGCGGCAGTGTTGTCTATGTGCGTGGTGGGGTGTGTGGTCGGTAGCTTGGTTTCTGCGATCAGATTCTGCAGCCATATCGTGAGCGTGGTCGCTTCCGCTGTTGCTATGTACTCTGCCTCGCACGTGCTCTTTGCTACGACCGGCTGTTGGCGTGCGAGCCATTGGACGGGCGCTCCGTTGACCATGGTAATCATTCCCGTTCTTGATTTTCTGGTCGTTTCGTCGTTGGCGTAATCCGCGTCGGAGTATGCCTTGATCTTCACGCTTGTCTCTTGTCCCGCTGGCATCAGTATGCTTTCGCTGCGCGTGGTGCGAAGGTACTGAGTGAGCCTCTGTGCCATATTCCAGTGTCGTTGGGTTGGCTTTTTGAGAGCTCTGGCGAGTGCAGTGGCTGCAAAGGCGACGTCGAGGCGGGTGCAATCCGCAATGTAGCGTATTTCCCCTACGGCCTTTGCGTAGATCTCGGCCATGTCTTGTCGCATTTCCTCGTTTTCTGTGGGTGGGTCCATTTTAATCGCATCGAGGTATGGAATGCTTTTGGTGTTGCACTCCTGTTGGGACATCAGGGCGACTACGCTGTCGATGTGCTCGGGCTGTGACATGTGGCTTCCTTCTTCTGTGTACCGTATTGTCCAGTTACGGTACTTCGTTGGCGTGCCCATTCTTTTGACTTTGTACTTTTTTGAGGACTTGGTACAGGTCGTCAATGAGGTTTTGTGCGGTTGCGATTGGTAGGAAGTCATCCATGCTGATGCCGATTATGATCGTGTGTTTGCCTTGTTTTTTTACGAACAGGGACGTGTCGGATCGCATCTGTTTGTACACGTGCTTTCTTAGATGCCTGTGCAGCTCTGTGCTGGAAATGTTGGCAGCTGCCGGTGTCGCATACAGGTTTCCTTTGAGCTCCCCATGTGTGGATGTGTGCTTGTATTTCCTGTTGAACCTTTGCGGTTGCCAGACATAGACTTTGATTTTGTGCTGGTATTTTTCGTGGAGGTACGCTCCGGTAATACCGAAGTGTTCGACGGACATGTTCATTGAGGCGGCGAGGGCGAATAGGGTCCTGATCGTGGTGCGGTCGGCCATGTATGTGGCGGTCTTGTCTGGGTCATAATGCACGTGTGGCGTCATGCCGTCTCCTCTTATTGAACATCTTGCTTTGCGGGTGATGGCTTTTTTCCTGTGCTGTGCTTGTACCGATATGTCATTGCGGTGGGTATGATGTTGGTACGAGTGTGTCGGGATGTTTGCGAGGTCCAGTCGATCGCTTTCATGTCGTCTAGCTGATCGAGTTCTGCGTCGTGTGCGACTGCCCATTTTTTGCATCGGGATACTTTCTAGCTTGCTTCAGAGTTTTGGGGGGTGTCGTGGTGTTGTCTATCATCTGTGGCAATTTTTGTGCTCGACAGTGGCGTCCTTTTTTGTTCTTTGCGGGCGCGGATTGTGCGAGGAATGCTGCGTTGGTTGTGGTGCAGGGGTCCCTGGTGCGATGGTATGGTCTGAAGTTGGCTGCCCTCATTTTTGTGTACTGTCTTGTTGTGATGTTCTGCACACATATGTGTGTGTTGTTGAGACCGTACATGTAACGGACCGGGTTGGCTTTGTGTTGCAACTTCGGAGCGTTTGGTTTGAGGATGAGCGTGTACCCCACTTGTCCGAATGTGAAGATTCTACGGATTTGGGGTGGTGAGTTGTGCCATGCTGTGTATGGGATGTGCTTTACGCCGTGGTGGTATGCCATGTTGTACTTAAAGACTGCGTCATTGAGGGCGTCTTGCCAGTGTACGTCCGGGAGCTGGCTGTGTGATAACGTCGCGCGTACTTTTTCCATTAGTGTGCGGTTTATTCTCTCTGCGAGGGCGTTCTCTTGAGGGGTGAACCGGGTCGTTGGTCGAAATTGGATGCCTCTCGCCTTGAGTTGTTCTTGTACTGACCTCGCGAGGTATTCCTTTGCGTTGTCGGTCACTAGCAGTCTGGGGTATTTTTGATTGTATGCTGCTAGGTGTTCGATGGCATTGATTATGGTCGTTGGTGCTTGCGCTCTGTTGGCTAACCAGTAGACCCATATGTATCTGGTGTTGGTTTCAATGAGTGTCAGGAGTAGTTGGCATTGTGCGTCGACGTGGGCTGGATGGGTCGACACACGTCCGAGGATATGCTCTCTCCTTTGGCGGTTGCGTGTGTGGTTCTCCTGTGCGGTCGGGTTGTGGTTTTCCTATCAATACAGCCGCTGCATGTGGCCTGCGTTCTTGTCTCTCAGTCCCTTGAGGAGCGTTGGTAGTAGCCTATGCTTGGACATAATTGATATTGTTTGGGGTGTGCATGTCCTAGCTTGATGTGCCAGTCATGCATGAGTTGTTGAGCGTTGTTTCTCTCGGCTTGTGGTTGTCTTAGTGCGATCGCGGTTCTCAGTGTTGGTGTGCGTTGTGCTGGTGCTGAGAAGGGGGTGGTGTTGTTTTGTGTGCCCGTTGTTTCCTGGTGTTGTTGTGCGCGTGGTGTTGGCGTCGCTAGTTTTTTGATTTTGTCGATCTTCGGTCGCTCGTGTACGTGCGTGCTCCTTTTGCGGTTGCTTTGTTTTCGTTTTTGAATTTGTACTGTCCTTGCTCGTATGTGGCTGTTAGTGAGGCTGTCGGGATCGTGGATGGATCGTGTAGGTAGGCGTGCGTGCGTGTGAAGGTGACATGTCCATGTGCAGTAAGGCCGTGGACTGATAGGAGGTTGTCCTTTCTTTTTGGTGTGTGCACTGCAGGGATGTGGATTGTGCCATTCTTGGTCTGGATGGCAATGGTGCCGGTGTGTGTGATTCGCGCGCATTGTCCGGTTGCTGTCTGTGTCAGTGTCCCGGTGCTGCCTTGCATGTTCGCGTGGGGTGTGGCGGTATGCGTTGGCTGTGCCCCGGAGTCTAATATAAAATGTTCTTACCGCCGTGGCTTTCTTATTGCTCTGCTATGACCCCTTCTAGGAATTTCAGGCGTTCGCGGAGGTCGGGCACTTCGTTTTGCTCTGGGCTGGTGCTGTGCTCGTGTGCCCATAACCTGTGATTCCATGAACTCCGATGCCCCCGATCCTCTCAGGAGCGGGCGGCCGTTGGCGACTTTATTGTGCAAGTGTGTGGCGTGCCCTATTGGCGTTGCCTTATTTGTTAGCCTGTGTTACTTGCCTCTTGGATGTAACCACAGTAATGTCCTCGACATGTGTGCGGTGGCAAGCCACGGAGGACGCCTGAGTGCCGGAGAGAGGACGAAGGCGAAATCACATTATTGAGATGTGTTCCATCTGCGATTGAGAAAACGAGAAAGGCGGGTAGAAACCTGTTTTCTCGTTAGTGTCACTCGTCCAATGTCATTCGCGTTCAGCGCACGCTCCTATCTGCCTTATCATTCGTAGTCATAGGCCAGAGGAGAATCGGCGGAGCGGAACTGCGGCTTATGTTTGCGGGCTAACATCAACCCGCTAATAGCTCAACTCCCGCATACTGTAATGGCGAGAAAATAGAAATAGAATCAAAATCCTGCGTTAGCAGTGTTCGTGTACTTTCCGTTGAGGGGTGAATATAGCAAAGCAAAAATGCTGTTTGACAGTAGAGCACAAAATCTGTGAGATGCAATGGGTCCCCCAAATGGACGTTTCTTACAACTGAGACCTCTTCTTACAACTGAGACCTCCGCACATCGTCCTGTCTGAAAGCAATAAGTGATGATCGATCAAAATTCCGATCTTGGTTTAACTATTCTACACCTCGAGGTCAGCAGATGGCGGATAAAAAAACAATCCCATGCCACCCACACGGCCATCGTCGACAGCGAGACAAGCACAACATCTGAGAAACTGTCCGATTGGCTGCACCAGGGTCTTTAATCGGTAAAAAGCCACAGCAGTGCGTATCAGGAGCTTCAAAGAAGAAGCAATGCCCCTGTCTGGCAAGACCAAATGCACCTGCAGCTGAACGTTATGGATGCAGTTATTAATAGTACAATACCCTTGCTGAAGGGCAGAATACGTCACAAATCATACACAACAACTACCAAATCATATCTTTATTTTAAGTTTTCAACTTGTTGCAGGCAATGCAAAAGGCTTCTTCTCTTCTCTTATCCGTACACGAACTGTACCATACAGGGCGGAATAATGTGGAATCTCATTTCTCTGATCTGAGTGTTTGCACCGATCCGAGATTTGCGCTGTTGTAACACCACCGCATTGCCATTGGAAGCCTCCGAGATAGAAAACGATCCAGTGCTACGGGTCGGTGCACGTATCGCGTGTTAGCATGTAGTTCACATTAAATATTCATATCCTCCACTAACAGCATTCAAGGGATGAAATGTGGAAGGGATTCTTTCAACACATACAAAACATTCGAAAAGAGGGAAAACAGGGTAGAAGATGATATTCCCTTGTGCAGGTATGTAGATTACAGTTGCACGCCTTCTTCAGGAAGGGTGTGTGCCGGACTGTATACTTGGTATCGTTAAGGAGTGAACTTACTAAGGGATGTGCATAGTATATGAAGTCTCTTATGAAAGACTAGGGTATTGCGCTTTGTTTATAAAAATATGTGTGTTTGAACGTGCAGTTTGTCTGAGAACCTCTTCAAGAGGGCACAGAGACAGGGGGGGACAAGTACGGTAGGCCAGGCGTGTGGCGCGAAAGAGGCGAGTGGACAGCACCGGCAGAACAGGCCGGACTTGCTTGCTGTGGCACAGCAAGTATCTACTAGTTAAGAACACGTCATACTTGTTGCGACACATTTCATTGGTTTTTTTACACCGCGAAAAATTTGGGAAATTTGAGTTAATTTAGTTGCAAAGTCTCTCGAGAAAAAAGGAAAGAATCCCTCTGAGGAAATATTTCGAGATACGGAAAAAGTAAAAAAATCTCGCAAAGCATCAAATAGAGTCAACGACGCTTTGAATTTCACCCTCGAGCCGCCCGGCACGCATGCCAGGAACCCTTTTTCCACGTCTGAACGCACCTGAATGCAATTCTTGTGCATTTTGCGCCATCCATATTGCCACGGATGTCGTCCCAACCGACACGGCGATTTACAAACCGCCGCCCACTGACAACCGTTTACAACTATGATAACTGCGAGTGGAAGTCCCTACTTGAGTGGAAGGACTTCAAATGACTCCTGGCATCTCTTCTTCCATCATTTATGCCATGCTGTTTCATATTCTCCACTCACAATCCTGTATCTAAGCCCGCCCGGTACATCCCGATCTGCCACAATCCCCCTGAACATTCCCTTCATAAGCAACGCCCTCGCTTGTCCTCCCGACCTCCATCTCACCCACTGAACCAACCCACCTTCACAACGTCATCCATCAAGCACACTCTCACCTTGCCGCATCTCACTCTCAGACATCCGACATGCGTCTCCCAACCTCTAAACCCTCTCCACAACATTGTTACACCCCCTCCACCGCTGTTCCTCGTATCCTCGTTGTCAGCCGCCGCACAGTCCGCAAGAACAAAGTATGTCCTACTAACTCGCGTCCCTGCCTTTCCCTATTCCCTTCGCCCTAGCCCAACCCTTCCCCTGTGCACATATACTAACGCATGTATTTACTTGTTTCTTCCTATTTTGCGTCTCAACCTCTGTTCCCGTCGATCTAATTTCAGTATGTTGACTTTGTTGGCGAATACCACCTGGATCTCATCGTCAAGTATGGCGGCTGCCCGATCATCGTCCCGCGCGTTGAAAACATAGCTTCCATGCTTGAGGCCTTCGAGCCATTCCATGGTTTGCTTCTCTGCGAAGGGGAGGACATTAGCGAAAGCTTTCTCCCCGTTGGTCCCAGGCTCCCAGAAGACCTCATGTCATCCATCAAGACAGCACATCCGAGTGATGTTGCAATCGACATGCAAAAAGACTCCATTGAGTTTTCCCTCGTCCATCGATGCCTTTCGCGCGGCATCCCGATTCTTGGCATCTGTCGTGGCTCCCAAATCGTCAACGTCGTCGCCGGTGGCACAATCATCCCTGACATCGACTCCTTTATCGACAATGCATGCAAGCACATTGACTACACCAACTACGACGGACATCGTCACCCAATCACTTTGCGCCCTCAAACCCCAATGAGCGAGTGGTTCGACAACGCTTCTGAGCTATCCGTCAACAGCTATCACCATCAAGGTATCGACAAGCTCGCGCCTCGTTTCGTTCCTATGGCTCACTCCCCTGACGGGCTCATCGAGGCCTTTTATGACCCCAATCACTTTGATCCTGCCCGTGGAAATTTTGTGGTCGGTCTCCAGTTCCATCCAGAGAGAATGCAAGATAGCGAGAAATCAATGGCGGGCGATAGGGACTGCTTCGATTGTCCCGGCTGTCCGCGGCCTTATGAGTCATTTTTGTGTGCCGCAAGCGCATACTGCGTCATGACTAACACAAGAACAAATATTCAACACGAGGAGTCAGGTCTTGCGTTTGATACATTTGTTGATCGCGCCTCGCTTCCTCCCAGACAACTCCCCAGAAGAGGCCCCAGAAGAGTTGCTTCTGCGGTTTTCGCTGAATCATCCCAGGAATTACGGCGAGGGGATGATAATCTGGTTGAGGCTGTTGACTTTCCATCAGCTCTTCCTAATATTGACGAAAACGAGCAATATTGGAACATGAATGGCGGAGCGTTCTCTAAGAAGAAAGATTTCTTGCGAACTCCGGCAGCAATGGTTGTTTATTCAAAGGAAGATCTGAACAGGCTGATCCGATCTGGCGCCTCTGTCCACGGGACGACCTTGGTGCGGCAGCTTCTTCAGAGGCAAGAAGCACTGGCCATCAAAGAGAACCGTTCTCCGCATCTCGGAAGGGCAGCATCACAAATTGGAAAGTATTCCGCAAGAGCATCCGTCAGGCGGAAGGGGCACTAGAACGCCTTTGCGGTACTAACCGTGCAGAAGTGGCTGTCGCCCTCACGCAAAGACTTGCAGATATCTGCACGTCTTTCCTGTTGACGTCCCAACCGATACTGTTGACCGGCGTGCGAGATGGGCGAATACTTCATCCAAGCGCTTTTTTTTTTAGGGCACACAGTCAGTGCGCAGTGCTGCGCTCGGAGCAGTCCACTACTCTGTACATTTCATGATTTTGGTAGTGTGTCCGAGTATAGGATGTGGTTCCATCCAGATAATACGCTAGGAGTAGATAAGGCACAGCCTATACGGCACGCCAGACAGTACGTAATAAAGCCACTGCTGGCCGACCTCCCCACGGAAGGGAGCCATCATGACAGCACGATCAGCTCAACTCAGGGCCATTCCATTCATCGTGATTGGCAATCACGCAATCACGCAATCACGTCAATAAATGGTGCTTGCTCCCTTGTGGTTGGTTGTTTATATTACGTTTCCTAAAAAATGGTCATGCTCATTAAAGAAATAAACAATCGACTTAAAATTAATCTTGTGCTCCAACTTGCAGAACGGCGTTAAATTAATGTCGTGATCGCGTGATTGCGTGATTGCATGATTGCCAATCACGATGAATGGAATGGCCCTCACTCACCGTGGCCTACGGATCCCTAGCCTCCCTTTACAGTATACAGTGAACCCTCCCGATAAGGATCATTCTCCATACGGATATCCTCCGTAAACGGATAAGAGCACCCCTAGTGGTAGAGTAAATGAGTAAATTTTTGATTTTTGGAGATAGATTTGGTCACGAGCAGCTCTAGTGGAGTGAGTATCTCTAAAAAATTTACCATTTTGAGTAAATCTATCTCCAAGCAGCCGACCGGATGGAGACAGATTTACTCATTTGCGCAAATAGAGATGCGAGTAGAATTGCGCCACTTGGAAAAATTACCAAAAACCCACGCCAATTCATGTATTGACTTGGCGCGAGCAATGTTCTCTGTGCACAGGGAACACCCCCAACACCCCCATCCCAAGCTGAATTTACCCGCCACTGCCATCCTCCTGCATTCTTCCTGACGCCTTCCCTTCTCCCTTTCCTCCTCCTCTCCTCCCTGCCCTTCCTCCAGGGCATGATGGTGTCATGTGGGGCTTGAGGAGATGGGAACCGGAGACGTCCCCCACAGTATATCCGTACAGCACCACCACTACCATCCCTCATACTGGATGACCACGGCTGCCGAAAGAGCCAATCACTGTACAACACGTTTGAATTCGCCCTCTAACCGGTAGTGTTGCGCCTAGAATCGCTATCTCCGAACGCTAAATTTCTCATATTTAACCTCGAAATATAACTAAACCAGTAGGGGTGCTCTAAGAGCACCCCTACTGGTTTAGTTATATTAGATTATATATAAGAAGTCGAGCGACGTACTCCGTAGCTTACAAAGTTTTACCAAAAAACAATGTCTGTGGAATGTTCCTCAATTGGATATCGGGTTCAATGTGAAATAAGCATATCATACAGACCCCTCCTACTTAAAAACGTATTTTATGGATACTTTTGAGCAGCCAAGGCACAAATTACCTCATAACCGTTCATTCTTGATCGATCCATTCACAATAAGAAACAGAGGCATCGATCTTGCATCACAGATACATACAGTAATTCCGTACTGTATACGCGGTGCACTGTACATGCACCCGAACACTGTAACTTAGCAGGGTGAGGAAGCAAAGGCTGACACCCAGCAATCCGTGCTGACCACGGTGGCTTCCCCCTTTTCGCCTTCCTCACGTGTAACATGTTAAAGGCCTTTCGACCCCCCTGAGTCCAGTTGCCAAAACTGCACTGTACCAATGGTACACTTCGACCGGTACGAAGGGTACCCTTCCCTTGAAGGGTACTGTACCCTTCAAGGGTACACGTCGTGTACAGTACATCCCAAAATCTGCTGTGCGAAAAGCCGTGGGCTCGCTACATCCCCATTCAGCCCCCGGAGCTGGTTTGATGACGCCTCGAATCTTGCACCTCTTGGTGACAACCTCCATCACCCCCTAAGCAGGCTTGACTGGCCTTTCTGCGATTACCAACCTGGTAAGGCTCCTCGCTTCTGGGAATATTCCCGACCAGACAGTACCGCTCGTTGCCGCGGCAACGGTCCTCTTAACCCACGCCCGGGAAAGGTACGCCCAATTGAAATAGGGCAGGTCCTTCGTCGCGTCGTAATGAAAACCTTGCTCGCTCCAGCCATCGAAGACACGCGCGACTACTTACACCGCACACAAAAAGCAAACTGGATCCGTGCTGGCCTCGATGCCATTATTCACGATACCACGGAAAGTACTCGCAAGAATGTTTACCACAATGACTTCGTAGTGGTCTCGATAGATGCCAGTAATGCGTTCAACAGATGCTCGCGACAGCGCTTCCTGGACACCCTCTCTGAGCGCGCGCCTACACTCCTTCGATTCTGCAATTTAATATATGCCAACCGGTCACCTCCGCTCATCATGCCTGCCTCTCCGCCCCAGATAATTCTCAATCGGGACGGGGCATAGCAAGGAGACCCGTCGAGCATGTTGCTGTTTTCTCTGGCAGTACATGAGCTCCTTTGCAAGCTAGTTCAGGAATGTCACCTTCCGCTCACGCTCGCCTACGCTGACGACATCACCTTAGCAGGACCCCTCGAAGAAATAATTAAGGCTATTCTCCTTCTCCACGCAATCGGACATCAACATCAATATTACACCAACTTGAGCAAGACACGAGCATACGTGCCGTCAAACGACGCTGCCACTATCAAGGCATTGTCTTCTCTTCTCCCACGAGGACAGATTCCAGCGACAGGAATTGAAATCCTAGGTACACCAATAGGAACCCCAGACTATATCAACGCCCATATCGACACGAAATTACAATCTTGCAGCGAGACGCTTAGCCTCCTTCAAGAAGTTCCGTATGCCCGCATCAAATTTCACTTACACCGCATGTGTGCGTCTGTTTGTCGAGTACAGCACCTTTTCCGACTGATACCGCCACGTTTTTCCATGCCCTTCGCGAGAGCATTTGACGAAACTCAACACCAATACTACTCAAAAATGAACAACGCTCCTTTGTCTCCATCGGTAACCTCCCAGACAAGCCTACCTTACCGCTTTGGCGGCCATGGCTTCACAGCCATGCATCCGCTTGTAAATGCCTCGTATGCCTCAAGCCTCATTACGTCAGCACCGCACCGCCTACAAGGCCAAGACAACTGGCATCTATCTCACTACCTCAGATCGGCCCGTCCATACCTCCGCACACTGATACGCGACCTACCTCCCAGCGACCGACCTCCTGCGTAATCCGTGTTGCGTTCAGCCTCCGAAGACTATCCTCTGGGACAATACAAACCTACAGCACTCGCCAATAGACCTGAAGGAACTCACCATTTTTTATTTCAGGTCATACATGCTGCAGCATCGCGGCGTTTCTGGGAACATGATTCTTGGACAGTCCAGCCAAACCCAGTTGACCACTGTACCATATCGGTACGTCGAAGAGTTCGATATCACTCTTTGCTGTCACCTGGCGCCTCTTCATTTCTAATAGCCCACCCCTCCCTCGTTACTCGCGTACACTCATCCCAATGGTCCAGAATGCTCCGCCGACATCAATATGTCCCAGTCTACCCTGATTCAATTACTCCACTTCGTTGTTCGCACTGTGACAAAGTCATGGACCCGCGAGGAGACCATGCCACGCACTGTTGAAACGGATATGGCATCACTCATCGGCACAATACTCTTCGCAACGAACTCGCCAACTCTGCTTTTCGTGCTGCTGGCTACTCATGCACCCTTGAAGTCCCTTTCCTCATTCCAAATACGGAACATCGTCCCGCTAATATACTCGTCCAACCTGGACCTTCTCCACCTGTTATGCTCCCTGATAAGCCCACCGCGATGATGTGACAGTACGCAGCCCTTATGCTACCAATTTAATCCGTCTATCCGCACAGCGACCGGCAGCCGCCGCTGAAGCCGCCGATAGTGCAAAGAGACAAGCCATACGCCGCATCCTTCTCAATGCCCTGCACTTGTCAAGCGACGCCCCGATCCCTGCCATGGATTCGCACTTTGCCCCTATAGCCTTTGACACTTTGGGCGCATGCTCTGACACCACGAAGACCATCTTCGAATCTCTAGCCCGAAAAATCGCTCACCGCAGCCACTGCTCATACGGAACTGTGAAGGTGCGTCTCCAACAACGCTCGGGCTACGCCATATGGTCCTCTGTAGCAACCGCTAACCTCGCTCGCATGCCGTCTCACAGCACGGACACGTACTATCCAGTCCAAGCGTGACATATGGACGTTCTCTGAGATAGCATTCGATCAAAAGGACATTGAATAAAGAAAAATGTCAAATGTACGGTGCAATACTGTACTGTTGCGGCTAGTCCAAGCCGCCACCCTACGGACCGAAAGAACAGCGATTTCTGAAGGTAGTCCACAAGTTTACTCCCAAGTCGCCTCTTGCTCCCTCGATGGCCTTCCTTTCTACGCGCTGCGACTAACTTATACTGTCGATACTGGCAACCATCGGCGGCATCCCATCCTCCATTCCTCGAGCAGGCGCCTGCCGCCACCGTCCAGGACTCGGTCCGTTTGCCCGCCCTTCCGTTGCGAACCTCCCTCCGTCCCCTCCGAGCCTCACGTTCCCCTCTTGCTGCCACCGTATCCACCATTACGCCCTTGCCCAACGTCCTGCGCGCGCTTCCGCCCGACACCTTCCGTAGCCCTGGCGGCCCCGCCAGCGCCTCCTGTCTGCCTCCAGCGACGCCATTGGGTCAAAACGCTCTCGTCGTCCCGCCACGTCCTCGCGTCACCGCACCGCCTCCCTTCCCCGAACGTCTCCAAGTCCTCGCCATGTCCTCGCCTGACACTGTCGGGCTGTGCCGCGCATTGGGAGCCGGGTCATATGCAACAGCTCTCGCGTGTCCCACGTGTCAAGAAAGAATCAAATTCAGACCCGCAACAGTACTGTTCTTCCCAACTGACACTGCAACATCTCTGTCTTACAGTGCCGGGCATGATGCATCAGATTGGAAACGAGAAGAAGCGCTGTACAGTACCCTTGGGTACCATTCATGCATTACCTTCATGCGCCAGTGGGCTGACTGCGAAGGGTGAAGGTCAGTGGCGTACCCAAGGGTACTGTACAAGGCCACTACGAGGCCACTTCATTGTCCTAGGAGAGGGAAGGCACAGTGTTGCGAAGAAGATGTTTGCAAGTTGGTACCATCTCCGTTGCCACACTCGCCCCTTGCCCAACCTCTCCCCATCCTTTGTTCGCTTTCCACCATGATCCCATCCCCGTCACATTTCCACCACTACAAATGTGTCCCAAGGCACGGGGCTAGGAGCGTTCAATCGCAAAGGTGTACGGAAGCATTCGACATTACCTATCACACCGTCCCTGTTTCAGATCTCTACAATCGGATTCGAGAGCAGAAGTGTGCGCGAGAGGCGAGTTTTGCCTTCAGGTTGTTTACGATTGCCGCAGAGAAAACCCCCGAGTAGCTACCGATGAGAAAATGGAGTTCTTTCGAGAGTTGGAAGACGACGACGAGAAGCGTCAATGGTTATTGGCGTGAATACATAGAGAGAGCACTGAAGTGGAAGCGAACACTGGAAAAATCCCGCTATCAGCGCGACACAAAAATGGCGGCGGCGTTGGCTCCTTGGCATCTCCTTGTTCACAAATTGCTCCAGCCAACCGCTGTGCGCAAATTTTCATAGGCAATCACTGTGAGCAACGTATGCGGTCCGAGTCGTGCGTAATTGGCCGTCCACCCCCGCATGAAACCACGGACTCCTTCATTTCGATAAATATGTTCCACGCATTTTCGCACTTCCACCTGCGGCTTAGAACTCATCACGACCGACTTGACCACATCCGCGGGCGTCGATACGGTCGTAGTCACCAGCCCCGCAGTCATGGCGGCGCCGAAATGCGCAAGAAGGCCTTCCTGAATTCCCGTCACGCGCTTTAACATCTGTTTACTGTTGAGAGCTCATATAGTATTGCAAACTTGGTCAGCACAAGACAGCATCGTTGATGGCGAGTGGTGGTCGCGCTTGCACGTACCTTTGGTCGTACGTTGCGAGCTGCGACGATGTGAGCAGTGCTGCGCGCATTGCGGCGGGTCCAGTCCCTATCCACAGCGACGCGACGCCATCGTCCTTCGCGATACGGTATATACCATGGAACACGTTTCTATATCTGTGAATCCCTCCTTGTTGCATGCGAACCTTGATCAGTTCGCACGGGTTGCCAACCACCGCACCTTGACGACAAGAACAGAATCAGTCAGCAAAAAGCCATCAGGCACGCACGGTACCCCATTAAACCATGGATTAGAAGCGCATCACTCACCCGTAGCGCCAGAACACACCGCAGCGAAAACCTTGACAGGGAAATTGGGCTCCGACAATCCTGCGCCCTGCGTAAAAGCAGATCGCAGCGGTTCGTATAGACCGAGGCGTGTGGCACTGTACGTAGCGGCGCGAAGAATAGCGGGAGAGAGGCCTTTGTACAGCGAGAAGAAGCCCTCGTCGCGGGTGATGGTGGCCAAACCCGAGAAGAGGCCGGTGAATCGTGCAGCAGGCTCCGTAGAGAAGGAGCCCTGGAGTTGGAGACGAAGCTTGATAGTATCAATCGGGTGCGTGACAGATGTAGCAAGGCCGCATGAGGAACCGCCTAGAGCTAACTGCTGCCAGAGAGGCGCTGGGCGTCGCTGCTGGGTGATTTGGGGATTGCGCGGCGCGCCGGAAGGCATTGTACGAGGATAGCCAGTGCCTCCCTGTAATTCAGCGGTTGAAGGAGCGGAAGCCGTAGTGTTGGGGCGACCTCCCAGGGATCGATACTTTTGTATAGAGTAGGAAGGAAGAGGAGTGGATGCACGCACATTGGGAGCAGAAATGGTTGAGACATCGAACACTGGCGGCGTCCACAATTCAGTGCGATGTACTGTACAGTAGTGCGTTGGCTGCCGAGCGGGTGAAGAACAGGAAAATGGTTGTTTTGCGTAATGTTTTGGCTCAGGTTGCACAAGCAACCACTGTAAAGCGCCCATAAGGTAAGTGCAATCGGAGCATCCAGAGACCACGAACTACAGACAGTGGCCCCTGCTCATTAGCTTAGTGCCGCCCCGTGCGAGACCCCAAAACTGGCACTATTGGGAGACGGTATTAATAGCTGACGTCGTCCCATATATTTTCATGCACTCGGTAATTAACGTCTGCCTGCTCCGCGTTGGTTCTCTGTCGTGTTCTCTGTCGTGTTTTGTAGTGAGAAACGCGCGCTTTGCCGACCTCAGATACGATAGAGCGTCTGAAACTTGGCCTTCAGTCGCCAAAACTCCCACTGCCTGACGGGTCTTTATTTGCGGTGATTGTGGCTTCTTGTTGGCTACGCGGAGTAATGAGGGAGTAGTAGCTCTGATGTTTCGCACGGTGCGCCCTGCGATACCGAACTGCCGCTCAATTGCTTCGGCACAGTGCCCCTTGTCGAGCAGATCTGCAATGTCTACAGAGCTTCTGTGATTGTCAGGCGCGCTTGCGCGTTGCTTTTTTATTTCTGGAATCAGATCCATACGAGCAACCCACCTCGTCGATTCTATTGCCGGATAGAAATAAAACGTGTACTCTGACCATTCGCCGGTTGCACGAATATATTTGAGATAATGTTGCGTTTGGGGGGGCGATCAGGTGCATTTTGGTGGCAACAGACGGGTTAAATCGGAAACGTTGTAGCGAACAAGGGGTGACGGTGGTAACTTTGCAAGAGGTACCAATCCGATAGCGGTTTATTTGTAAGGATCACTATGGTGACCATATCAAGTCTGAGGTGACAGGAAAGGAATTTGTAGGTAAAGAGGGGCGTCAACAGTTGAAAATCGTGGACAGTGCAATAAATTGTACTAACTAACAGGTGACGTCGGATACTGCGGCGGTACTGAAGGATGGGCAACTCTGCGGTATCCCCAAATACCTGCTTCGGAGAGCAGTCCTTCACTGTGTGATCCGACATCCGACACAAGGAACTGGAGTACACCCGCTTCTTCATCGCGGCAGGGCCTTTTTCGTACCAGTTTTTCTTACGCTTCCCGGCCCTCTTGACCGGACGCCCGCGTGGTGGCGGCAAGAATTTGGGAATTTGCAGGTTCTGCCTCTTGGCGACGAGCTTCTTGCAATCTATATTACATCATCGACGCAAGCTTGCGAAGGAAGGTGGTATTCAACATTTTCGTATTGTTTAACCAAAGCTGCCGTTGGGTGGCGCTCATCAATAAAGCGATGAAGATTGCTTTCTCATGCTTCTCGATTAGAACAGCTTTTCCATGCCAACACGGAAACCCAGAACTGTCTGTAGAGTAAGCACAACATAATGGAGGGGTTTGGGGAATCTTGCTAAGTGTGACATGGCGCAGCACAGTTCCGTTCTGCCGACTGGCTACTGTCGCCTCCATTTGAGATGTCCCATCTAAGAAACGGACTGAGGACTGCTATACGCGCGCTCGCTGAATTAGTTTTGCGAGGTGTTTCTCTGTGCTGGTTGATACCGGAGATAAACACAATAGGGCGCTTTCTTGACGATGCAAAAAGTTTGACCTTTGCAGAAGAACAACCCTCGTAAGCATCTTCTGAGGCTCAACCGAACGTATATTATTCCTTAGTTCCGCCGACATTTGGCTTTCTGCTCCTTGCGACGTCGTGACAAGGTTGACAATTTGACGCAACTTTGCGTTGCGAGGAGATACGCAGAAAACGTCAAAAAGAGGTGTTATTCCTTCTTGCACAGTGGCTAGGTGTCTAATTGCCTGGGCCATAGTTTGAGGCAGTACACGCATTTTGAAAAGATTATGGAAACATGCTTGAGATATCCCCACAATTATCCTTCGTTCTGGAAATGTCGTGCTTGAGATCCCCTAAAATCCTTGGTTACTGGTCATTTTACACTACTATATCGGCGACACACTTCTACTTTGTTGTTTTGGACGGGGGACAAAAGAGATCTGAAGGTGACATCTCGCTTTTCGGGTCCATCATGCTGCTGTTTTTCCTCTTTTCGCCCCGCTCTTGCAACAACAATTCATGATTCGGACCCTGTTCACAACAGAAAAGTCACCCGACTGTTGCCACCAAAATGCTCCTGATCGGCCCCCTAAACGCAAAATCTCCCAATATATTTTTGTGGTGAATCGTCAATTTATTCGTCTGGATTCTATACGCGTCAACCCCAACGCATATTCGCAACTCTAACGCTGTATGCCCGCGCGAACAGCGGCGAGACGTCACACATCGTCTGCGAAGAGGCAATCGTTCATCAAGACGCGTACCCCTTGCCGTGAATCCCGCGCGGCTGCATGTCTTTCTTCCGCAGCCCGTGCGCTCTGTCCCTGTTCGCCGCGCGCCCTCCCTCGGGTACTGTCCAATGTAACAATTTGCGTTGTTCGCTAACGCGTAGACGTGGATAGGTACTGTGTTTGCCAGTAGGGAATTAAGGGGAAAGTTGTATATGAGGAAATACAAAGAGAGGCAATGTCGCTCAGCACGAATGTTATCCGCGTGCGCGATTCCTTTACTCATACCAGCTTGGTCTGTGACTAAGTACTAGGCCGCCAGGAAACTCGCGGCCCGCGAAGTTCATCGGTCCTGCAGTTGCATCCAAGCCCTGTCAGGGGGACCGCATAGGGATTAAACAAAATCCTGTGTTCGGACGTTGTCCGAACCAGGGAAATAATCTGATTTAGGGCGCACTACCGCATGTATAGTGAGGGGTAGTGATTTACAGAGCACCTTAAAGTGAGCTCACTCAGCCTAAGCGTGAGCTCACCAGCCACCCATAAAATTACCGCCATTGGATAGCCACTTTATCAAGCTGTCCCCGCTATTGGCGATCTAATCTCACGTTGTGGGCGAGATCCATCAATGATGAGTTAAAGTGCCCAATGACTGAACATTTTAGCAATCAAGCGAATTCATGATGAAAACACTGAGATAGTGCTTTTTCCTTAAGATTCCGTGACTCCGTTGTCGTTAAGCATTGAGTCAAGAGTTCCGGAAGGTCTTCCTGAACTTGGCTGAGAGGTTCCCAAGTCATGTCGACCTCATCGGGTAAGCCTTTCGACTGCACCTCAATTTCGATGCGTTCATCTTGCAAGCGTATGAGAAGGAGTTCCTCTGCATCTTGAAAAGTAGCCTCTGTGTGCTCAGCCGGTTGTTGCAATTTCGTATCCACAACCTTCCCGTCTATATCTTCGAGGTACAACTGAAGCCTCCTTGCATGGACCGTTGCGCGTTTGGAGTCTAATATGTCCTCTACTTCTTATACAAAGTCCGACTTGACGGATACAATTCGACGTGGTCCTTTCCAGATTAATTGCAACATGTGATCTTTATAAACGGTGCGGCGTACCAGAACAAAGTCTCCTGTGCGTAAATTTACAGGTTTAACATTTGTCTTACGATTATGCTCCTCAGCCTTCCGCTTTCGAGAAGATTCGGCGCGCTGCTTGAAATCACGATGCACCTCTTGTAATGCAGCTTGCGTGGCGTCACTGTTGACTAATTGTCTGACGCGCACTTCGTCCAAGCTCGACATTGTGGTATAACAGCCAAGATTTGTAATTTGTACAGCACCCGCCGCCGCGGGTTCATTACAGGCGGATGGACTACACGCGTGCCTAACAGACGCGCGACTACAAGTGTGCCTTACAGGCGGATGGACTACACGTGTGACTTACAGGCGGACGAACTACATGTGGGCATTACAGGCCGACGACATACTGTATACATTACAGCCCGGAGGTTGTATATGACAAGGTACAGTAGCAATGGCATAGTACGGTGCATTGCACAATAGAGTACAGTAGTACAGTAGGATGGACAATGTCCAAGACCCCGCGACCTCGCTTATTTAAGCGACGGCGCCGGGCAATGACAGTGAACAGTCAAGGATCTTTTGGGAACGGATTTCCTTCGACGGTGCGACACCGCGGGTCAAGACAAGCCTCTGACTTAGGCGACATTGTCGGCATCTGTCTTGCGACGTTTTCGTGGCTCTATTGCGTTTACCATTTTCTTCTCCTTTTCTCCGCCGTTGCAACTGCGCGGGTTAAGACTAGCCTCTAGCCTAAGCGTTCCTCTGTCGCTCGACGTTTCTACTGTTTTCCCTATTATACTTTTTCATCTGTCGTTGCGACTACGCGGGCTAAGACTAGCCTCTAGCCTGGGCGAATTACTGTCGCACGACCTATTTCTCTCTCCCTACATTGTGACGATTGTCAATTCGCGGGCTACGACAAGCCTCTAGCCTTGGCGGCACTATTGACATCTGTCCCGCTCGTTCCCTCTAAGATTTTCCGCTACTCGGCGCTCCGCCCGTTTCTGATACTAGTCTGTAGGCTCGGGTTCTCCCCTGTTTTGTGTGTTCTTACACAACCCCTTCCAGGGCTGGTCCCATTCCGGGTCCACACTTTGACCAGTTTGTCGTGCTTTTACAGTGGGCCGACGTACTTCCCCTTTGCTCTAACACCTGTGGTACAAACTCGCGCCACTCTAGTATCCTTTTTCGCGCTACTCGTGTACACGTATATCTAGATAACTCAAGTACCCCGACGTACAGTACCAAGCCCATTTACACCAGCCTTGCTTGCTTTCGACACGCGCACACGTGGACCTTCTACCGCGCTTGTACACGTGTGTACTATGACGCGACCTCGTGAGCTCTAGCCGTTACATCTCGACCGCGATCTAGTACAGTATAGTGTCGTTG